CAAGCTTTATCTGAACGAACCTGCTGAGATGGTTTCTCTTAACTCGAGAGCTTGCAACGAAAGCGGAATGTTCATCGCGGAAAAGTAATGCTCTGTGTGCATTTGGTGGTGGGACCAAAAGGGTGTCGTGTACTATGAGCTGCTGAGCCCGAACGAAACTGTTACTGCTGACCGCTGCGAACACCGACTTGACAGTTTGTAGGAAGCTCTTACTAAAAAGCACACTTTAATCGCAAGAAATTATCATGAGGTGCCGTTGTACTACGAACATGCCAGACCCCATGTTGCGAAGAATGTCCTTTGAAAAAATTGCAGTTGTTGGACGGGATCAGCTTGTTCAGCCCGCATACTCTCCGGATCTCGCTCTTTTTGATTACCACCTATTCCGGTCCGTGCAAGTCAGTTTGGCAGATATACGCTTCCGGAATGCCGAAGAAGAAAATGGGTGGATAACAGGATTGTCTCAAAAGATGAAGACTTTTTTAGACGCGGAGTCAACAAAATACCAGAAAGATGGCAAGAAGTTGTAGCTAACGATGGGCAATACATTGGTTAGTGTGCATTTGGTTTTAATTTTGTAATAAGTATGTTTTTGCACGCGAAAAACGGCGGAAATTAATGCACCTACCTAATACTACGTACTCGCATTCTTCAGCGCGCATGAACTTCTTCTCCAATAAGTTGGGAATTTAGATGTTGTCTGTAAGGTATTCGCGGATGATTCAAAATCTATGAAGCAGATTCCTCTCTCCCCAAGGCTAACGTAATTCAAAAGACAATTAATTCTGTGAATGATTGGTCAGGAAAATGGGAACACCCACTAGCAAATGAAAAGGCTGTTGTTTCTCATCTTGGGACGGAACATGTACCCTTTAGATACCACATTGGAGATTATGTAATTATTAGACTTAGAGGTTAGGGATTTAGTATTCCTTATTGATGATAAACTGACATTCATTCGCACTGTCTCTTGACTAGGGTCCCGTGTATACTACTTAGAGGGTATAAAACTTACATTCGCCCTATTCTGGAGTATGGAACAACAGTTTTTGTCAGTGCATTCAAGAAAAAACATCGGCAAGATAGAATCTGTACAGAATAACTTTAAAAGGAAAAATTTTTTCGTGCACTTGGATTTACTCATACCATACCAAGGGAGAGGTTAGAAATAAAATGCTGGAGTAGCATCGCTAGTGATCAAACAAAAGATTATGGGTCTTATTACTATGTTCAAAATCTCTATTTCGGGAGAATAACTCGAAAATCCGAAAAGGATGACCGTTGCTTCTTCAGATATCATCACGATCATTCTATGTTCGTCCAAATTCATTCATGATTGGAGATACCCCATTTGATGGGTTGAGAACGCTTACATTGCGGTAGATGTTCCTTACTCCTTTGATTCAGGTGATATATTTATCGTCAGCATTTTTTATTTTTTTGTAGCAACATTTTCTTGTCCTTTTTTCTTTTTCATATTTTTTGCGACTCGTTCCCGACTTATTGCAACACTCGAATTTACTAGGGCAAGGGTAGTGTAATTTTTTCGGTGGGTAGCTGTTGAAACACAGCACATAATGGGAGGTCGAGGAGTTTTTTAGATGAAAGCTTCAATCGCAGGTTGCGTAAACAACGACGCCCGGTGTAGAGGAATTCGCTTTAGTAACCTTGAAATATATACAGGGTGCTTCTCGACCGAGACCACTGCATATGTATGTTTGACCCCTATCTATCGCGGAGAACCGCGATCAAGGTCCCGTAACCCAACTTATGAGCTTACCCGATAAGCTTTACGATACACGAGAAGCTATAGGATGTACGATAAGCTTTGGGCTTCAATGTTAAGGATGTTGTCTCGCGCCGCTATCTCTTGCCTCATCAGAAGGCGAGTCAGCGCCGTCACTATATAAACTGTTGGATGACTAGCGACCACGGTCGCAGCTCTTCATTATGTAATTGTATACTTTCAGTACTCGAACATAAGCTCCAGGAGAAATTCGATTATATGAAAAAAGGTTTCTAGCGAGATAACCCGGTATATGAGCGATTGCCGAGTCATGGGATATTTTCATAACGATCATGATTGGACTTCTTCAGGGAAGAAAAGGCTCTTGGGCAGGGAATATCGCGGTACCGCGGAAAACCGCGATCATGAGATCCAACAACCCAATCAGTAAGCCCTAAGACTCGAATGTTAAGGACGCTGCCTCGCATCGTTACCTCTTGTCTCATCGGAGTGCGAGTCAACATCTTCACTATGCGAACTGTCGGATGACTCATAACCATGACCTTTTCCCCCATTTTTCTTCACTATAATTTTCCTCATTGTCACTTTCCATTTTTCTCATTTTCCTCTTTCGCATTTGTCTAATGTTCTGCAGACAAGGTATCCTGACACTGGGTCTTGACTGTTGATTGATTGCTAGGTCTTTTGACTTCACATATTGTTCACTGTTGGTTTAACTATCAAGATCTAAGACTCGAGTGAAAATTGTTGACTATCTGCGTGGTATTGTGTGTAGAATAAACCCGCGGGGCAAGAGCGAAACCTCAAATTCCCTTCTCACCACCTGTGATTATTCCATACTGTATTTGTATTTGTACCTGTATCTCTACGCGATGCGCGGAGGTGGGGTAGTGGCAAGTGGCGCACTATAACGCACGCACGGTCGCGGGTTCAAGTCCCCGATCGATATCCGCTTAGGCCAAGCAAGCTTTCCATCCCTCCGGGGTCGTTTATTTGGTAAAAGACAGCTCTGGAAGGATAAAAGCGCTGACTTGTATATCGGCTGGTCACCGCAAGTCAATGTTTAGTTTACATACGCCCGTATACGCCACTACGATTCTGAAGGGAAGTCGAGTGCGGGAGCACACCCCTCAGACAAGATTGAATAACACCAAAAACTTTATCCTTTATCCTTTATCTTTCCGCGATAAATTTGTGTGTCGGAGTTTTGGACCTTGCACTATTACTGCTAAGGTCTAGGACGACAAGCGACATTGATAAAAGCCCATGCATTGCGGTTACTCTGAAGCTGACCGTGAAAATCAGAAGACCAAATAGTGATTGTAACCGTCCTCCGAGGTAGGCGTTTTTGTAAAACTAAGCTATGACTCTACGGATCTACTTCACTGAGGGTTCTCTCTCACTGAAGGATCCCCAGCCGGTTAGTGACGAGGCTACGTAGGGCGT